GCGTGTTTAGTGAAGACCGCAGATCGACCACCATTACGTTCGAAATGCATCCCCATAGGCTAGAAACTGGTCTCGCCCCCGGAATTCGTTTTCTGCACGAGGGTGAGCCTTGTATATCGCAACGAAACCAGTCTTCCCTCTTCTTGAACATCGACATCGGTGTCTGCTTCGAACGACATATCTACCCCACCATGGGTATAAAGCGATGAAAATAATATAACGCACCGCCACCGAAATCTATTGACACGTCACCCCACGTGCACGCACACGCACGTATGTTTCCTCCATTCACAGCTACATATGTGTGCGCACGAGAGAAACGAGAGTCGCGACTGGTTGTCGAGATCGAGATGTTGGAGAACCCCTCTGTAAATAGGCAAGATGGCGATGTCAAAATAACCGTAGGTAAGCCATGAGGTGGTCCAGATTTCTATTTCGACATACGATGAATTTTAAGAGTAACGAGAGCTCACGTCAAAAAGGACCTCTTTTTGAATTATGCATTTTTTTGTTGTACCATTATACAGACACATGAAACGTTCGTTTAAAGAATAGGCGTTTACGACACTTGAAGATTTCTTCAAATTTTCTTTTTCATATTTATAATGTTTTTATTAAATAATGCAATTTAATATTAAAAATTTTATACTTCAACATTTTTTCTAATACTTTAAAAAGAAAAGAAGGAGCAAATAGTTTGCTACCATCTAATTATTATTGCAATATTATGAATCATTTTTATATTAATATAAAAGCAAATAGAATATAAATGTATGAATAATAAATAAAAATAATGTTTGAGTTAACATTGTGAAATAACATAGTAGATATAATACTATAACGATACACGAGCCAGATATTAAACACACACATAGTTGGATTCAAATAGTGCCACGAGGGCATTGAAAGACCACGCGTCGACTAGTGCGGGCGCATTTGCGAATAACGCTGACGACATCGACAATAATGTAATCGCGCAAAGTAATTCAGCCAGTTACAGACTACTTACTAAAATGCTAGAAATACTTATAAATTTTACGCGCTTTGCACATATAATGTCGTCTCACGGAGAAAACTACGCGTAAAAATCTATTTATGCCAAAATCTTGAAATTTAATCTCATTTGAGATTTAAAAATATCAATTTGTATATTTAATATTACATTTGATTTTATTTTTAGTAAGATGTCTTTTCAAATAATAAAAAAAATATAACCAGTTTTATATTACTTATTCATCTATTAAAAAATAATTAATAAGAAAACAAGAGATCTGCGATAAATAGAAAAAAATATCGATAACATCAAAGAAAAAGATTATTTTTATTATTGCGCGTGCAAATTTAATATTATGATATATATATATATATATATATATATATATATATATACATATACATATGTTGCATACTTTGTACTAATTGCAAATATATTTTCAAGTTGAATAATTGTTATCTCATTTTACAAGTAGATTCCAAAAATGCGAAAAAATTAAAAAGTTATTTTAAATGAATCTTCTTTTATCTGCGATATGTCACAATCGTTTCTTAATTATTTAAATTCAATAGAAAATGAAAATATATAAGATATATATGTGCATTTCAACACTAATAAAATATTCGATATAAAAATAAGTCAGAATAAAAATCAACATATAAACGAGAAATTGATATTCTATCAAATATTCTTGGCAAATTGATATGCAAACTTACGTGTATATATACTTATATTCGTTCTTTATATGATGTTTATCGACCGCCTTCATCTATCATGTACATAATGTTCAAAACTCTTTAAAAGAGCGTGTCACGATACAAACGACATCATCGTTCTCGCGCATTGCGTAGAGACCAACACTTATAACGACAGTGAACAACACCTATTTCTCGACACGTAGAGAAGCAACACAACATGCATGCCATAGACAACTTGCCACTTGTAGCAATTGACCACGCAAGTATTTACCGTCCCCTTCGGGCTACGTGACGCTATGCAATGTGATTTCGCCTTACTTCGGACATGTTACGTTTGTTCATTTATTCTTTTATTTTCAATTGTAACTACTTGCAACGTGATTCTCAATATACAACTATTTAACCCATCGCGTTTTGTGTAACGAATAAAATTGACATTATGCGAAAGTATTGACATAAAAATGATTTTTCAATGATTCAAGTTGACTTTTCTTGATAATTTTATAAGAATTCTGACATATGTATAAATTATAGAAGTCCTTACCATAATATAGTCTTGCTATCATATTTAAAAGTAATTTGAATATTTAATGAACAATTCTAATGTAATTTATGTTACGTTTATTAAATACGATGATGTAATTTACTAGTCGTTAATACGCGACGTAAACTTTACACTCTTTGACAGAGGGGTTATCTAAATTTCTGTACGTATCATATAGAGAGATAATGTCTGTTTGATTGGAAAAATAGAGGATTAAGAGGGTTAACAAGATTCGCGTACCAGACAAAACCGCCGCGTTAGCCACTCAAAGGTATAAAGATGCTGAGCACGTCTGGTGATGGGCAGGCCGCGCGGGTCACAATCCCATCTGCCGATCCTAACCGGTCTCTTTCCCTCTCATTCTCTTCGGCCCTTCGGACGTCTAAACTCCTGCTGGACAAGCGCGCGCCATTATCTTATTTACGCCTCATTGTCTCAATGTATCATACTAATATCGCGCCTGCCTCGTACCGACCGACAACACGCTCCTGAATGCGTATGCACGTGAATGCGTCGCACGTTACTATGAGGAATGTTTACAAAAACCGTCCCTTTTGGAATTTTAATCAAACTTGCTGAGCTCTCGCAGAGAGCAAACTAAGGTGTAATTTCGATATGTTCTTTTACATCTCCTGGCATTTAAATTCGAAGGTCGATATCATCTCTCAAACTGTCATCCGATAAGTCCTTTTTTCCTAATTTTCAAAAATATTTTCTTGTCATGCACATATATTTAAAATTACAAAATGTTTAGATAAGAGATATGTCTGTATTGCTTTGTTGTGATAATCTTGTCTAATCTCTTTGTGTAAAATGGTCTATCGAGAAAGACGATTTTTTTTGTTTCTTTCCCTTTTTTATGGATATCTTCTAAAAAAGAGCTAAAAGATGAATTTATGTTTGTGGATTCCGTCCTTTCATTCTTGTTAAGAACATAAAATAGCAAAGTGAAAAGCCAAGAAATAAGTTGTGAATAAGAAGGTCAAAATATGGTTTATGGTTATATTGCCGCACTAAAGCTATTGTGTGTGTGCAACGGTAATCTTGTTTAATTTTTAATTCTAAATGTTGCACCATTAGTACTTCGTCCTCAGCAAATAGACCTTCTGTTTTGACAGTCGGTGGGTTCTGCCTATTAATTTTATGAGCGGTTATAACACGCAAGGCCTTTCTTAATTCCAAACAGAGAAATCTGTTTGATTTAATCTGATTTTATTTACTATTCTTCTACAAAAAGAACATTATTAGATATAGAAAGTAAATACTAATAAGTAACAGTCATAAAGAAATTGTTATTGTAAATATTTGAGAAATATTGATTGATATATAGTGATTTGAATAGATGCAATCTTGAAATTAAATACAAGTAAAATATAAAAAGATAAAAATATCGTACAATAGTACAAAGTTAAATATATAGTACAAAGATAAATATATCGTACAATATATTGATACGTTTACTCGAAAAACAGACATTTTCTTTAATTTCATATAAATTACAATATAATATTGGCAATATATTTTTTCATGGAGAAATGTGAGGTAGTTATTAATTAAGACAAAAAATTTTTTAAAAAAGTCTCCGACATTTATTTTAATGTTATACATGTGTCTCTCGCACGCATTTATTTTTATCGATTCAGCTCTCTATATACAGATATAATATATTTATAATATCTTTAGCAACAATTTTCTATCTATGTACATACACATCTTGTAATAAGAAGCCACGAATGACTACCTATAAATTTAACTATGTACAATTATCGATTAATTGATACTGTACACAAATACAGTCCGTCAATAAGAGATCATAAGTTAAAATTCTATTTACGCAACTATTTATACCATTTTTTCTGTATACTATTCTTCTATGTATACATATGAAAGGAATTGCTGTAAAAAATTCAAATGTCATATTTTTATGAACTTTCGCCAGCAATACCGTATGTAATTGAACGTTGTGTAAAGCGTGTGTTAATTTAATATTATATTTACAAGGAAAGCAATATCGTGTATACTTAAGATGTGTATATATGTACAGAAATGTACGACCGAGTAAAATACAAATTGACTGCAATTAATTATATATTTACAAGTATACCTATTACAATTACTGATTACACTCCTATTGGAAATACTGGAATTCTTAATAAAGATTTCATCTTATTGCGTGTATACAGGTGCTATCTAATGCCAATCAATCTCGATAAATAAATTTTTTCACATATCATGACTGCTAAATTCGCATTGTCAATAATATAAAAATAAATTAAAAAATCTCCAAGAGATAAATTTAGTCCAGCTAAATTTTTCTTAAATTTTCTTTGGCTATACATTTATAAAAGATGTAAAAAACTATGAAGTCACCAGATGATAATTAAAAAATGGTAGTAATTTAATTAACCAACTCTGGCAAATTAAGTGATCTTTATTCAATATTCACGACGTTTCGGTCATGGGCTTCGGCCCTTATGTGCTAAAACACAACTTTTTTATCAAGTGCTAAAACACAACTTTTTTTTAAAAACCTTAATTTTTGATCTTAGAATGTGACAAGATATAATAAAACGATAATGTGAAATAATTAACTATTAATAGTTAATTGTTTCACATTATCGTTTTATTATATCTTGTCACATTCTAAGATCAAAAATTAAGATTTTTTAAAAAATTTGTGTTTTAGAACTTGATAAGGGTCCCGAAATCCATGGCCGAAACGTCGTGAATATTGAATAAAGATCACTTAATTTACCAGAGTTGGTTGATTAAATTACTACCATTCTATACATTTATATTATTATAAAAATTTAATCTGACAAACATAACGCTAATTTGACATGCAAAGCAAAACTATATGCTGCGCTTCCCGGGGGGATGGTCATTTCTGAAAAAGTCTCGAATTGCGATTCAGCTTTGTCGGCCGGTGAGGACCGTGATGGGCTTTAAAATAATCTGCTGCGCATTGTGAGTAAGTGGTCTTGGCGGTTGGACGGAGTTACAGATGGTAACCGGCGGCGAATGCGGAGCCATCGGCTCCGGGCTACTTCCGGGCGAAGCCGTGCTAGAGGCAGGCTGACTTAGAACCGGCGTTTGACTGAGATGATACCTAGGTTGTTGATTGAACACCGCTGCCTGATGCTGATGCGCCGCAATAGATCTCAGGGTGGTGTAGAAGTCCTGATAAGGATTCCCTGGTGGCGGGAGTCCGGACGCCGCAATACTGGGATAACCCGTAGGTGCTTGCAGCAGCCTTTCTACGGAGAACGCTCCGTGAGCCGCCGGAGGTGCCGCCGTCGCTGGAAGAGGCTGCGGTTTGCAGGGCAAACCTGCGGCCGACGCAGTTGCCGCTCCAGGCAACAGACTAGCTGGATATCCAGCCGGAGTTGTATAAGAACCGGTCACCGGAGGATATCCGACGGCACGATGGAGACACGGCAGAGTATAGAGCGACGCCGGCCACCCTGGAGGTGGATAAGGCGCCGAATAAAGTCCATTAAGCACTACACTCCTCTTGAAGGCTGCCAGTCGAGACCTGGAAGCCGCCGTAGTCCTGCGTCGGAGTTTCCCCGTGGTACCCCGATAAACACGTCCTCGGAACTTGGATCTAACATCCAGTAGTTACCCTTTCCCGGATCGTCATAGTGACGGGGCACTTTGACGAAACATTTGTTGAGCGACAAATTATGTCGAATAGAATTCTGCCAACCCTGTTTGTTATTCTCATAGTAGGGAAAATGACGCATTATGTACTCGTAGATGCCATTCAAGGTAAGTCGTTTATCAGGACTTTGTCGAATGGCCATCATGATCAACGCGTTGTAACTGTATGGTGGTTTCTCCGCCTTCTTCTTGTCTTCCGTTTGCTCCTTCGAATCTTTTTCATTTGGACTGGAGGACGTTGTATTAGTAGAACAATCCAAAGGCGGCGTTTCCGTACCATTAACGTCACCAGTAACGTCAAGATCGCTGTCGCTATCATCAACGTGACCGGTATCGGAAGAATCCGAATGACTCACCGACGGCGCGGGTGTCCCGGCGCAAGCTTCGGGTATGATATGACGAATAGATAGAAAATTGCTCTTCGGAGCAGCCCGTGGCAGCGGTGAAGCTGTCACGGTGTGCTGCTCGCCTGAACTTTCCATATTCACCATAATTCGAATACGCTATTCACCAGGCAATTACGTCGTATCGCGCGCGCACATCCATAGGATCACCGTGTCTTTAGATGCGCGAAATATTTACCCTCATGTTCTATACTCGATTATGACATCGAACATTTCGTTTACCTCGTACAATTGCACACCACACTAGGTTTCTCGCGCCACCGTTAGGCTCGTTTGTTCCCCACGTTCGCCCTTTACCGTTGTAACGAACTGTTGTGAACTGAACACCCGTTCAGCAGCACGTCTACCTTCGTTCTGATCGTATCCCCGCCACGAGTTCTACTTATATACCTCGGGTTCGGATACGCCTACCAGTAACGGCATGACATGCCTTGAGGGGCTCGCTGACCAATCATGGTGGTAGTACACCAGCAACGAACGCATTGTGTCGCTGGACCCCACCACGGTGTTTGCGTCCAATGTTTGACAGCAAACAATGCAAGCGGTGCGGAGCCACGATGAAGGCAGGGATTTCGAAGGTGCTAGCAAGGCGCAAGCGAACCTAGAGCGACCGCGCAACATAGTGGGGAGCGCAGCCGCAACTAAACGTGTATCCCTGCGTATGCAAACAAATTCAACGCGTTACATTCAAGTTCTTTACGCCCTTCCACGGGATTGGTACGTTCTTGCACGCCGTGAAGCAGGGCTACAGGATCAGCACGGGAGGAGAAATGAATAAAATCGGCGCGATTGTGTGTGCGTATGTGCGCGCGCGCACGCATATGTGTGTGTATGTGTTTTTATCTTTCTCTTCGACGGGCGAAACGTTCAATTTTCATTGCACGGCCGAATATGGGGATCTACTTGTTGTAGAACGTCGGCCGCCGCACACCTGGTGCATTGACTCGATGCACATTTCGATCGAAATGCGGTAACGAAATTACCGTAGAATTTCGAAATCACGAAATCAACACAATTCTCACAAGTTTGCGAGACGTCTAAGCTATTAAATTGTTATTATATTATTACATGTATAACATTTTGCATATCGTGACAAGAGTAAGAGAGAATAAGAACGCATTGCAAATGCATCAGAATCAATTCTGAAATGCACATTATCAGAATAAACGTGCGATTGCATCCATAGTGTACCTTTATTCCAATGGATGAAATAGATAATTGATGAGGCAATTTATTAAATATGTATCTTTTAAAATTCACAAAACAAGGTCTAATGATTGCATGATCGAGTAGTTAATAAAGAGATATTTTCTTTTATAGAGGCATAAAGTTACATTGCTTTGACATAGAAAAATTGATCCAGAAATCGTCAAAACAACTTACAAATCAAGTTGAATAAATTGCTGACAAACATTATTTTAGCCTTATTATATTTTAATAAAATTAAAATAAAAATAAACAAACTTGAAAATAAACAAAAAAGATATCTGTGTGATTTGGTGGTCTTTGTACCCATTTGTGTATGTGTGTGGTACGAATATAGGATCTGAATAAAAACTTTTCGAAAAAGGCTGTTTTCCATTGATTCAGTTATTTTCGTTATTGCTCAAATTTTGTCGGTATTTCTTTAACACTGATTTTATAAATAAAAAAAACATATTTTTCTATCTCTTCGATTTTTCCGATGCATATAGATTACATTTGTTATTTATTACTATATTAAAACCAGATCATAAAATATTACTTTTCATATAAATACAACGAATAATAGTATCAAAAGTAATTTTATCGGAAAGTATACAAAAATTGTTTTGAGATACAAAAGTTTATTTATTCTATAAAATTTCAAATTCTAGTGAATATATTTTAAATTGAAAATATTTGCAAATCTCTAATTATAAACTTAACTTTATAAATCATTATTATCTTAACTCTAATATTGGTGTGATTGCTTATAGTGATTGCTTAATTGTCATCTCAAATAAATAATGTTCTTTAATACGTTTAATTTATTTGTGGCTCTAATGACTAATTATTTACTGACTTTATTTAACATATATCTGAGAAATGCGTATATTATAGAAATCTCAGCTACACTCTATACAAGTTATGCTAAGAGAGGAAGAAAATTTGTCTATATATTAAAAATAAAATTGTTATTCTTTTTGGAATTTCTTTTACATATAATATAATATATCTTTTTCATATGATATAATATTCTATAAATTTGAAATTATACTAAAATCTATATTGTTTCGAATAATGAATGATTTAAACCAAACAGAGATATATGGGAATGAATAGAATTGTGCAAAGACACGTGACAAACTTTGGACCTAAAAAAAGGAAGAACCGAAAAATCTGAAAAGATTTGTAAAGAATGCAATGGATAGGTTAGAAGCAAAAGAATTCTTCGAATCGCGGATGACATCTATAAGACATCTTTATACAATATATACGTTTTTCGGCCTCCCATCGTGAAAATGTCATCACCACTATGGCGATGCGTCGATTTAGTTATATTCTCTACGTTATGATACAGATTAATAATAAGACACATTCTAATTACTATAATAGTTATTGCTAAAAATACAAAAAATTTACTTTACATTTTAAATAGATTAATATGATATTTGCTTAATGATACTAACTTGAAAAGATAGAAGTTTTGAAAACTATTGCCAATCAAGAAGGATGTAGCAGGTTGAACAGACATATTCAATCATAGAACGTCTAAATCTATTGTATTCTTTTAAATATAATAATGTAAAGCTGTATGATTCCATTTATTTTTTTGTATAATTCGATTTTTCTTGTACTTGTTCGGTAGTCCGTAGTTTCACGTCTTTATAATTATAATCTGCATTAAATTAAAATTTACACTTTATCTTTTTCATATTTTCATCTATTTCTTTTATCTGCACAATTTTTTTATAAAAAATTTTGATTTCTCTATCTCAATTATCTTAATGTGTTTCACTTATTACTTTAATATACATATAAAAAAAATGTAAAATTATGAATAGAAAGCTGTTTTGAATTCTGTCGTAAGTTATAAAACATTTGGAATAAACTTTAAAATTAAAATTAAAATTAATAATAATCTCCAAAATATTTTTAAATTTAAATAATTTATTTTAATGTTTATATTTAATGCGTTTTCGCAACACGAGCACCAATGAAGTTAACCAGTTGCCACGGGTGTGACGAATTGTGGAAATATATAGATTTCGAAGACACTGATGACGTTGTTATGTAATATTCGATACACTTCTTTTGAAACTCCAGGAGATCGCCCATCCATCAGCACTGCATTTGTCGTCTACATTGCAACTGACAAAAACATTTTTCCAGTTTAATGCAATCTATAGTCAATCTATTATTTTTTGTTCCCTCGTCAGGCAGCTTTTTTTAGAACAGGAAATTGTAAAAATGACTCGCAGGTATCAAGAATGCTGAACAAACAATGAACAATGAACGAACCTATTTATTCAACAAATGATCATTGATATCGTAACGTTTTTGTGGCTCTCACGTGACAGAGCTATCTTGTGGCTATATCAATGATCTTTAAGTAAAAGAGATAACTCGGGTAACATGGGTTGCTACTGCTGCGGATTGTTATTTATTCTATAGAGCAAAAATTTAACGGATCAATAAGAAAATACTAACGAAAATCAGTAAGAAAATACTAACGAAAATCAGTAAGAAAATACTAACGAAAATCAGTAAGAAAATACTAACGAAAATCAGTAAGAAAATACTAAAAAAAAAAAAAAAAAATTAATATGCATTGATTCTTGTCCTGATTTTGATTCATGGCGTTTTTTGCTGATAAAAAATTTGAAAATAAGAAATAATTAAAAGAGATTTATTAATTATAAAATTTATATATATTATATTAAGATTATTAAATATAATATGAATTTGTAATATTTTTTGATAATTATATAAATAAAACAGTTATTATATTTTTTAAAGTTATTAAAAATCAAAAGAATTTACTATTGTCAAAATTTTACAACTTTTTTTTGTAACTTTGTAGTCAATCTATTTACAACCGGCAGTCAATTGTACAATTATATTTGCGTGTTATAAAAATGTTGGTAATTCTTTCATAGCGTCAAGACGTCAAATTTAAAATTGAATTTTGTTGAAATTAATCTATAAATCATACAATTTTTAATTTCATGGTTCAATTATCTTGCAAAATATTTTCGTAGGTTTTGCAGCTAATGCATTCTGTCGGAAAAATCGTTCTTGAAGATTTGAGACGTCTCCTGTAGAATCGAATTGTTACAATTCTGGATTTTGTATATGTTTTCGAATATATTTCTTAACCCTTTCAATCTTTTCTTCCTCCCCCATCAGTGAAGTCACCCATTCTCCGAGATCCAAATCAAATAACTATAATCTTTGTGGTCTGACTAAGGAAATTGTCGACAGAAATGATCTTTATGGTTCCCCGCGTTAAACTCTCGTAAGAAAAAAAAACGAATAGAGGCAAAAGTCTCCTTATACCGACGGAAAAGTCAAAACGGTCGAGAAAATTTTGATCCGAAACTAAGAACTATTGAGATTCATCGTACGGTAATCTTTAATACGATTTGCCCAACTTAGAAAGGTTCAGTCCGACTGACATGTCAATCTATACAAATTTGCCTAGATTTCAATACTTTTCAAAAATGCAGTATTAGATATAGTTTCAATATACTTGATATAAAATGTGATATTTTAAACCTAAATATTTAATAAGTAAAACTACTTCTTAATTTTTGACAAACTAGAATAAATTCATTTATAGGTATTATACATATTACAATCTCTGCTAAATAATGACATATGTATTTTCAAAAATTTTCTAGATTATATGTATATGCGTGTGTTTGTTGTGTATATGCGCATGTACATATATATACGTAAAAAAGAAAGAGAAAAAGTAAAAAAAAAATTAATTTTTTATGATATAATAATTATAAAAAATTGTGATAGGAATAAGATAATTGGATTTTGGAGATATTTAAAGATGTTTTGAAAATGAATAATAATAATTATCTAAAATAGTCAATGACTGTCAAAATTATTAGTGTCCAAGTTGTTTACTACAATATTGATTACTCAACCTAAAGATTTTCTCATGTAAAACACCTGCAAATTCTTAAAGTTCTCACTCCCGGATTAGATTTTTTTCGGTTAGGGTTAGATTTTAAGATTTAATTTAGATTATCTTCGAAGCAGACAATAGTTTCTTTAATAGAAATTATAGTAGTATATACAAGTATAGGGATTAAATAGCACGTGGGTGGTCTGTTTGGGTTTTCAAATACGAGGCGGCGTAGATTTCTATCGGACTTAGGACATTTATTTTGTG